CAGTAAACTTGAAGATAGAACAATGGAAATTATTCAGTCCAAGGGAAAGAGGGAAAGAAATTTAAAAATTGAAATAAAGTAGATGAGTGAAAGGTACTTAAGGATACCATAAAATGGGCCAACATATGAATTTTAGGAGTCCCAGAAGGAGAAAGGAGAGATAAAGAGGTAGAGAAACTATTCAAAGAAATAAAGGCTGAGGTATACCAAAATTTGATGAAAACCATGAATATAAACATTCAAGTAATTTAGAAAACTTTAAGTAAGATGAATTCAAAGAGACACACACCAAGACACATTGTAATCACACTTACAAAAGACAAAGGCAAAAAATATTGAATTTAGTAAGAGAAAAGCAACTCATCGTACACAAGGGATGAGATAATATCTAGAATATTTCTTGTTAGAAACTTTGGAAACCAGGAGGCAGTGGGTTGATATATTCAAAGTGGTAAAAGAAAAAAATATCAACCATGAATCTTATATCTGACATGTCTGTTCTTCAAAAGTGAAGGAGAAATTAAAGTATTGCAAGAATAAAAAAAAAAAAAAAAGCTGAGGGAGTTTTTTTTATCACTAGACCTTTCCTGCAAGAAATACTCAAGGGAGTCTTGCACGGTGAGATGAAAGGACAACAGATGGTAAACTTGAAGATAAATGAAGAAAAAGAGGTCTAATTAAAGATAAATACATGATCAATTATGAAAGCTGGTATTATTGTAATAATGACCTACACCTGCACTTTTTGTTTTCTATATCATCTAAGAAACTAATATAAAAAATTATTAGTCTAAAATCTAGCATTGTTTCAACTCTTTTTGTAAATCACATTTTGTTTTCTACATAATTTAAGAACCAATGCATTTCAATAAATTATAAATATATGATTCTGGACAACAATTTATAAAGATATTATTCTGTGACATCAAGAACTAAAAGAGGTAGAGATTCAAGTGTTAAAAGAACAGCTTTTGAATGTTATTGAAGATAAGTTGGTATATATTTGAATTAGAGGGTTATAATATTAGGATATTAAATGTAACCCACATGGCAACCATAAAGAAATAGCAATAGAATATATACAAAAAGAAATGAGAAATAAAATTAAATATTTCACTGAAAAATATCAAGTAAACACATAAGAAGAAAGTATTGCAGGTAATTAGGGAAAAATCCATACTGCATATGGAAAAAAGATAGCAAAATGACATAAATAAGTCCCTTATTATCAATAATTATCTTAATTATAAATGAATTAAACTATTCAACCAAAAGACAGCAACTGAAGAATTGATTAATAAAAACAACATGATTCAACTATATGTTGTCTACAAGTGACTCACTTTAGGTCCAAATACAAAAATGGATTAAAAGCAAAAGGATGACAAAATTTATTTCATGAAAATAATAACCAAAAGAGAGTAGGAGTAGTTGTACCATTATCAGAGAAAGCAAACTTTACATCAAAAAAGGTTACCAAAGACAAAGAAGAACATGATATATTAATAAAAGCTTCAAAACATCAAGAATATATAATTATAAACAGTTACAGATAGACCATCAGAATACATGAAGAACAAAACTGACAGAACTGTAGGGAGAAATAAACAATTCTAGAATGATAGTTGGAGACTTCAATAACCCATTCTCAATAATAGATAAAACCACCAGAAAGAAGATAAGAAGATAAGGAATTGGAGAACTTAAATGATGTAGTAAACCAACTAGATCTGATTGACATATACAGAACAGCAACAATAGCACATGCATTCTTTTCAGGGCACATAGAACATTTTTGAGGATAGACCATATGTTGGTCCCACAAATGAAAGTCTCAAGAAATTTAAAAAGACAGATATCATTAAAAAGTATTTTTCCTAAGAAAAATGGGATGAAGTTAGTGAACAATAATACAGTAAATCAAATGTCAGCAAGATGGTGGAATACAATTTTTCAGTGATTATCCCCCTTTAAAAAACATCACTTTGAACAACTATCCACATGTAAGAATACCTTCACAAGAGCTAAGGAAACTGTGTGAGAGATTAAAGTACCTGGGAGTAGCACAGAAATAAGAACAGATGTATTGAAGAGGGTAGGAAGGACAATCTTACACTACCCATGTCATCTCTCCCCAGACCCCAGACAACATAGCATGAAGACAGGTACTCTCTCCTTGGGGGAAAGGAGAGGAAAATGACCATTGGACTTTGCCTCAGATACCAATGCTGGGCATGCCCAAGTAAAACCACCAGGGGTACACACAGCATTAGTCTCCAGGCTGGGCCCTGTAGATTGAAGCTCCAGGCATGCCCCAGTGTCAGGCTAGACCCTGAAGCTCAGGTTCCAGACCTACCTGGTGGACTCAGTCTCTGGGCTCAGACTTATCCCACTGGCAGCCCAACTTCAATGGCCCTGGCCTCCAGATGACCCCTAGCACCAGGATGGCCCCCAAGGCCCCAGGCTTCAGGGATGTCCAAGCACTGGACTGACCACAGAGTCCTAGCCATCAGGCCGGCACCTGCACACCCAACCTCCACACCAGTATCTGTGGATACAAGCTCTAGAACCACCCAGCACCATGCCAGGCCCTGCAGCCCCAGGGTCCAGACCTACCCCAGGTTCCAGACAAGCTCAGAGCAATATTAGGCCACAACCCCAGGCTTCATGCCCACCTCAGTGTCAAGTCAGCACCTCTGCACTAGGGTATAGACCAGTATGCCTGATATTGAACACAGATGAAAAAATCTTCAACAAAATACTAGCCAAAAAAAGTCCAACAGCTCATCAAAAAGATAATACACCATGATCAAGTGAGTTTTATACCAGGGATAAAAGGATGGTTCAACATCAATAATGAATAAATGTGACACATCATGTAAATCAATAAACATGACACATCATATAAATAGAAACAAGGACAAAAACCATATAATCATCTCAATAGACAGAGAAAATTCATTTGAAAAAATACATCATCCCTTCATGATAAAAACCCTCAGCACGTCAGGCATAAAAGGAACACACCTCAAAATAATAAAGCCTATATATGAGAAACCCATAGCCAACAGCATACTGAACAAGCAAAACTTGAAAGCCTCTATGAACTAGAAAAAGACAAAGATGCTCACTGTCACCTCTCCTATTCAACATAGTACTTGTAAGTCCTAGACAGAGCAATCAGGCAAGAGAAAGAAATAAAAGGCATCCAAGTTGGAAAAAGAGGAAATCAAGTTATTCCTGTTTGCTGATAGTATGATATTATCATACCATTCTCTAGATATATGATAACTAAGATACATGAAACCTAAAGAATTCACCAAAACAACAAAAAAAGCTCTTATATTTGATAAATTAATTCAGTGAAGTTTTAGTATACAAAATCAATGCACACAAATCAGTAGCATTTCTATACTCCAATAAAAATCTAGCTGAGAACCAAATCATGAAAGCAATTCCATTTACAAATGCTATGAAAAAAATATATATACCTAGGACAAATACCATATGTTCTGTTCTCACTTACAAGTGGTAGCTAAATAATGTTCACACATGGACATGGAGTGTAGGATGATATGCAAAGGAGACTTGGAAGGGTGAGGAGGTGGGAGGGAGGTGGATGATAAGAAATTATCTATTGGGTACAAGGTTCATTGTTCAGGTGATGGATATCCTAAAAGCCCTCATTTCACCACTACACAATCTATAGATAGAACAAAATTACACTTGTACTTTATAAACTTATACGAAAGAAATCAATCATACGAGCTTTCTCTCTCCATGCCCTGCTCTCCCCTGCCATTGACAGGCATTCTTTGGAGTTCTGTTTTCACAACGTCTAAAAAGAGCAGACAGAAAGGAAATGTAAATCTTTCTCTTTACATGCACCAGAAAATGCCTTTTAGAATTTGCTTTTTACAGCCTTGAAGAGTTCCTGAATGGACAGTGGGAGGGGTGGAGCTGTGTTCAAACTTCAAGCTTCAGTTCCTGTCCAGGACCATATCTCAAGGGCAAAAATCTCAGACAAGATCACAATTTCCAGCCATAAGCTTATCTGCAAGGAAACTGCAGACACTTCTATTATCTGCCTGCTATTAAGAAAAGAGAAGCAGCAGGTGCAGCAGTTCACAGTACCCTGTTAATTTGGCTACAGCCATAAATCTTCTTCACCCCTTCACAACTCCTAAGTAAAAAGTCTGAGTAACTGGTCTTCTATGCCAGCACACTCTCAGTCTTCCTCTTTCATGTTGGCCCTTTTTCTGTCTGGAAAAAAGTAAAATAAACTTTTTCTTCTTTCTATCCTAAAAAGAAAAAAAAAAAATAGAACTACCATATAATCTAGCACATCCACTTCCAGGTATATATCCAAAAGAAATGACAGCAGGGTTTTGAAGAGATGTTTACACTTCCATAATCATAGTGGCATTATTTACAATAGCTAAAACATGGAAGAAATCCAAATGTCCATCCACGGAGGAATCCATGACCCAAATGTGGTATATACATACAATGGAATATTATTCAGCCTTAAAAAGGAAGGAAATTAACTTAAGTTTCAATATAGATGAAACTTGAGAACTTTATGCTAAATGAAACAAGCCATTGCACACACACACACACACAAAAAAAAATACTGTATGATTGCACTTATGTCAGGTACCTATAATAGTCAAATTCATAGAGACAGAAAGTAGAATGGTGCTTTTCAGGGGCTGGGGGGGAGGAGGGAATGGGGAGTTATTGTTTAATGGGTACAGAATTTCAGTTTTACAAGATGAAAAGAATTATGAAGCTTACTAGTGGTGATGGTTGTACAGCATTATAAATGCATATACCAGTGAACTGTGCACTTCCAAATGGTTAAGATGATAATTTTTATGTTATGTGTATTTTACCACAATAAAACATTGAGAAAAAAATGCAATCGTTAGTTTATTGTTAAAATGTGTATAACCATAAAAATAATTTTAAAACGCTTGAGTTTTTGTTGTTCTAATTACCATATCTGGACCGCACATGGAGCCATCTTTTACGTAGGTATCCTCACTCCTGTCTGGTTCACCAGCAGGTTTCATTCTGGGTAGAAATGTAGATACACATGTGTCGCCTCTCACATGTGCATAAATCACAGATAAATTTTTCTGGTTTATTAATGTTTTGTGTGGCCATGTACAAACTAATTTTCCACATAGCATATTACTGGAAGCATAAGACAGAGAAAATTTTATTTTATTATTTATTGAAATAACATAGGTTGCTAATATAGCTAAATCAAATAAATGTTTACTAATTTGAATCCAGATTTCAACAATTTTGTCTCAGCAAATTTTTTTGAGCGCACTTATGATATGGCTCTTCTGTTTTATAAGTCAATTTGGCAAGTGAAAAATTAATGATTTTTACAATCTGACAGCCTGGATTTTTCCTATACTAGCTGCTAAAATCTGAGCAAATGGGTCACTGGTCTTCAATTTTTTCATTAGTAAAATGGAATAAATGAGTCTTGCCATATATATTTGATGTATATAGATATATATGTATATCCTATAGTATAAATATATAATATGTATAAACTGCCTAACACAATGTCCAAATCATCAGAACAATTAACAGAGGCCATTTTTATAATCATTGTTTAACATTATAGGCACTGAACACATGTTATGATAGTCAGTGAATAATATTGTTCAGCCTAATTTATGTAACAAAGAAAACTCACAAAAAAGGCCATTTTACTGTGTACAGAATATTTTCCAGGATTTTAGCAGTAAATAACCTATAATCCAAACAAAATTATAATTTTCTAAATACATACTGAAATTGACAGAATCCCCTTCCACAGTTTCCAAATCTATCTGATCTGGAATTAATTTCTTCAAAACATGGAAATGAACCACCTTTAGAACCTAAAAAGAACAAACTTAAGTAAATGACAATACCGAATTTAAATTACATTATAAAAATGATAGACTCAACCTGGAAATTGTAATGTAATCCGTAGGGAAGTTTATAATTATCCATCACTAAAAGGTTGCTGGCAGTAGAGCTAGAATTAAAAGCCTAGCAGACTGTGTTGTATATCAAAGAGACAGCAAACATCCGTATTAGAATTTTTCAGTTAATGTTAGAAAAATAAGGAGCTGTGGCCTTCTCTATTTCTTATAATTGTTTACTTTCTGCCTTAGTTCCCTACTTAATGTGAAAATTTAGTTTAGTCTTATCCCAAACAAAACAGTAGAGATAGTATCTACAGTGCAAACGCTGGTAATAAACCAACAAAGCATTTAATTAAAGTCTCCTTGTGCCATGCTAGAGTCCTCATGTCTGTTCCCTAGTATCTTAATAATCACTAAATAAAAATTATTGAAATTTAAAATTAGAAAGCATGTCAATGCTATCTACTTCAGGCCTTTGATATAGTTATGTCTAATTTAAAAATTATGAAAAATTCAAGTGTTTATAATAGCTGCTCTATCACTTGGACTTAGTGCTTTAGGAATGGGTTACATTGATCATGGTAATCACATGTAATAAAAACAGAGATTTTTTTTTTTTTTTTTTGAAGGCTGAAGCAGGATCCACACCTTTCACCTCTCACAAAAATCAACTCACGCTAGGTAACAGACTTAAACCTAAGGTATGAAACTATTAGATTTCTAGAGGAAAACGTTGGAAATACCCTTCTAGACATTGGCCTAGGGAAAGAATTTATGAAGAAGACCCCAAAGGCAATCACAGCTGCAACAAAAATAAATAAATGGGACATGATCAAACTACAAAGCTTCTGCACAGCCAAAGAAACAGTCATGAAAGTAAGCAGACAACCTACAGAATGGGAGAAAATTTTCGCATCCTACACATCTGATAAGGGGCTGATAACTAGAATCTACTTAGAACTCACAAAAATCAGCAGGAAAAAATCAACCCTATCAAAAAGTGGGTAGGGACATGAACAGAAACTTTTCAAAAGAAGACAGAATAATGGCTAACAAACATATGGAAAAATGCTCAACATCTCTAATCATCAGGGAAAAGCAAAGCATAACCATAATGAGATATCACTTATCTCCAGTAAGAATGGCCTTTATCAAAAAGTCCCCAAACAAGAGATGTTGGCGTGGATGCGGAGAGATAGGAACACTCCTACACTGCTGGTGGGACTGCAAACTAGTTCAACCTCTGTGGAAAGCAGCATGGAGATACCTTAAAGCGATACAAGTAGATCTACCATTTGATCCAACAATCCCACTACTGGGCATCTACCCAAAAGAACAAAGGACAATTTACAAAAAAGACACCTGCACTCAAATGTTTAGAGCAGCGCAATTCACAATTGCAAAGCTGCGAAAACAGAGATTTTGTTGTTATTGTTGTTACCACTATTAATCGACCAGGGAACTCTCTTCAATAATTTTAAGGATACTCATACTTGGAAAACATGGTCTGTAACCCTCTCTCTCTCCTGAAGGACACACTCCATACATATATTATAAAATATGCTACAAAACAGGTCAGATAGATAGATTGATGTGTGGAATCCACCACCAGCAACAATTCTTTTTTGAAAAGATCTACTTTTGAACTCACCCAATAAGTAAGTGGTTTTTGTTTTTTTTCCTCCAAACAAAATACTTATTTGATGAAATGTGATTTAAATTTCCCAGTTCCCCAAACTGTATATAGTATATATAGGGCCAGGGTTAGGATAGCTCAAAATTTAAAAGGCGGGGGAGGGGAGGGGGGTTCATAAACTCAAAAATCAAAATAAATAACATCTTAATGCAACAGTTTTTGAAAACCAAAATTAATGCAGGAAAAATCCATGATGAACAAATTTGAGCAAAATACCACAATTTCATATAGGGACAGGTCATTGTTTTCTGTCTGTGCTTACTGCACAAGGGCACAGCCTTTTCCATTCAGCCACCAGTTCCCTGGTGAGGCTCAGGAAGGTTCATCTGCAACCTGCTCAAGCCAGTGAGGCTCCCCAGCCCAGAAGGGGAAGCACCCTAAGTGCAGGTTATTCTCCCCGGATCTCCTACAGCTTTTAACAATCAAACATCCTCTCTGGTGTTCTTTTTCAGCTCAGCTGTTTTAAGGCTTGGGATGGCAGGACTTTCTGCATTGCTTTCTTGACTGTTGAGGCCCCTTGGCCTTGGCCAAACCCCTCCTGGCCGGGATTGTCTTCCTCCCCCCAGGATGATGATGGCTGTCCCCTATTCCCTCACCTAATTCCCCAGGGGCCCTGGGAGATTTAGGCATATTCAGTAGCAGCTTTCCTATCCCTGCTCCATTTTGTGGGCTTTGAACTGAGGTCTCCACAAAATCTAAAAGCACAATTTAAGAAAGGCAGTGATTGGAAATTAAGTTTGGGGCATTTTAGGACAGACCCTTGATTCTCACAGCAGTGTCTGAAGTCTCTGTGCCTCCTGGACCCTAGGGTTGCACAGTCAGTCCTAGAAGAGGCAGTGTCAAGAGTTGATCACATTAGGAACTGCTGGAAATGCTCTTGGAGGAGATTCTAAAAGAGAGCATGTGTTTTTTTTTCATTTTCCCTCCAGTAAGTCCACATAAAAGTCAGTGACTGATTTTTTTGTTTGTTTGTTTGTTTGTTTTTCTTCTCTTTACCTTTATTTCTTTTTCCCCCCTTATGCAGCTGCAAAAATCATTGGACAAAGGCATTTACCTTATGGACTTTTATGTAATTGTTCGCCTTAGCTGTTAATACCTTCTATTTTATAACTTACAGTGCTTTCCCACCGCATTTGATTCCCAGAGCAGGCTTACGATGAAGATAGGTCGGTATTTGTGCTTCTGTTCATGGATGAGGAAACCCAGTGTCTAGACTTGGGGACGTTAAGTCCAGTTCTCAAGGCTACTACAAATTGCTACTTATAAATTTGATCTCTTAGGGGCCTCAAAATTGAGGTTTAAAGGAAATACAATTAAACGAAAGCATCATTCTAGTCTGGAGCAGGGAGAGGATAAAGGTGAGCGGAGATAGTTCCTTAAAATATTTCCATTTAAAAATGCTCCAGTCCTCATTCATCACTAGAATGTCCAGTGGAACTCAAGTATATCAAAATATAATAAAACAGCCCCTGGCTTGGGGCGGAGAGTCTGGTACACACACCCTCTTGAATAAAACAGGAAGAGATTGCAGCCACTGTGGACCTACACTTGGATTGCCCAGGCTGAAGTTATGAGACCTGTAGAGGATGCTAGAAAAGGCATAAAGAGCAAGCACCATTTATCCTATCCTGGATTAAGCTTAAGCCCGTTATCCAAAGTGAGGTGACACAAGATCAAGAAAACGGGCCCCACATCTACTCGCCATCAAATTGGTACCGACTGATTAAAACTATGGTGCTCAAATGGTGGTAGTGCCCACCAGGGTTTGGGGGAGGGGGAGATACACATCTTAGGGTTGTGGCGAGCATTGTGGGGGGTGGGGGAGGGAATACCTCTAACCTTTCCTAGGGAAAGGCAAAGATATACAATGTAACCCAAAGGTCAAAAAAGAAAAAAACAAACTTTTATCGGGCGGTGGGCAGATGAGAGGGGGGACGAGGGGAAGAATTTATACTTACAAAATAGGTGCGATGCGCACCACCAGTGGGTAGGACACGCTTGATGTTTTGGTAAGGTGAGGGGTGGGGGGGAGGAACGGCAGGGGCAATATATGTAACCCTAACAATATTTGTACCCCCATAATATGATAAAATAAAATTAATAAAAAATATACTTTAAAAACTAAATTTACACATATGATAAATAACCATTGGCAGATATGTGAATAAAATTTTACATATTAAAATAAAAGGCATAAAGGCCTGGGTAAAGAGACTGTGAGAAAGGTGGAACAAGCCCTGCAAACAGGACTTGGGACATGAATGCTTATCAGCCAGCTACATACAGCAGGCTTTGGAATACAGGGGAGTGTGACTGATATTGGGTCCCTGCTCCTTTCTTTATAGCCTTAAGGAGTCACAAGGAATCCCAAGATAAATATGGATATGTTGCATATCACTACGTAGATTCTTTAGGATAATGTGCTTACTGGCACCAGAGATTTTAACTATATGTTCTTTTCAAACATTCTCTCTGTGTGTTCTTTTCTTTGACCTTGAATGCCTTTCTCCGCAATAAATACAGAGATTTGGAGAGGTATGGGAGCTCTTTGAAAGGAAAAGTGTCTCTCCTTCCCCTTCAGCCCGAGATTGTGGTCTAGAGCATTCTTCATTGCGCCATGACGCTGGTAGAGATGCTGGACAATTTCTACAAGACCGGGTAGCATATTAATAAGGAGAGAAAAAAATATATGTAATTTTCACATTTGGAATTGACTCAGGTGAGCTGAAATTAATTGAACCTCAGACAATATGAACTTCTGAAAACATTGCTGGCTTGATATCATCAATGGCCCTTGGACCAGGTCTCCTGTGGCTTTTAGTCATGCCAAGGTAGAATAAATCCTACATAGCATTGACTGCAGGCTAGAGGATGCAAGGTGCAATAGTATAAGCAAGTGGATCACTAACCAGGGTTAAATCTGTTCAGATCCATCTCTCTGCTAGGCAGTGTGATGTACGGCAACTTGTGTAACCTCTCTGGACCTCCCTTTCTTAGTAAAGAGAAGTTAAGTCACCAGATTCTAATGTTACTCTCATTTAAGAATATTTTATAGAAAGACATCAAAATGGCAGATCAGTGGTGATCTCCTGGGTCTCTGCTCCCAGAGTAGGAGGTGAAGAACTCAGACGGCTACATACGAGTGGATCGCTCCCCACAAAGAACAGCATTGTGAATCCGCAGAGAAGCATGGGACAAGCAATGCAGGAAAAAAAAGGAGGTGAATTGGGGATACAATCACAAAGACTGGAGAGTGTGAGATATATGATAGGGA